GTACCCACGTTAAATGGGTAGTTTTGATCACAAATAAATTCTAAATGTAATATTTGATTGTATTAATTTCATATATTTTATACCCACTTCATAAATCAATTATGTGTATGTACCTATAGTAAGAATTTAATTAACATACAATATATATATATTTTTTTTAGATTCTGAGTGGAACGACGAATGTATTGATTTTACAATGATGTGTGTTTTTATATATTTTTTTATTTTTTTATTTTTGTGTCTGTGTACACGATAAGTAGTCGAAATAATGCTTCGATTTTCGAATTCAGTATCTTGTTCGATTGGAAAGTGAATATCGTTGGTGCATTGAGGAGGTCAAAATTTAAAATTCCCAGTACTTTTCAAAAGCGCCAAGAAAAACAAAAGAAAAATTAAGGAAAAACGGGAATTTTTACGCAAAATCGATTTTTCAGAAAATTGAATTTGGTTTTTGGTGTAACTTTAAAACAAATGACCATAGATACATGAAATTTTCACTGGTTGTTTATATTTGCATTTTCTATACACGATAACATTTTCAAAATATTTTGATTTATTTTGAACTGTTTAGGGACATTTTCATTTTTCATTTTTTCAAGTTTTATCTGTTGGGCCAAAAAGTGTAAACATTTAATACAAGGCTCCTGATATATTGTTACAATAGCAATTGAAAAATTTTAAAAATACAGAGGCACAATTTTTTTTTATCTATTTTCATTTAAAGATCGAATTTTGACAACATTTATCAAAATCTCGAAAATTATCAATCATTGTAATTAATAAATTATAAAATGTTCAGTTTTTATAGCTAAGGATTGCAAATTTAAGACAAAGGTTCTCATAAATAGTTCCATACTGTAACCAAAAAATCTAAAAAATATATGAACACAGTTATTTTTTACAGACATTTTAAATTCAAATTTGGACGAAATTACATAATAAAAAACCTAGAATAACTATTTTAGTTATTTTGTTGTGATTGTATAATATTTTTCGTGGGTACTTGAAACTTCTAAAGTATACTACTATAGTACTATATATCTATGATAGTATCAGGGTTTGTTGTTGGTGTATAACGCGTTATAAGTACCTAATGGATATTGCGATATGATTAATTTTGAATTCATTATAGGTACCTATTATAGGTCAAATTTTGATTTAGTACCATAGATTTGTATATAATATGTCTTATACCTAGGTCCTAGACTGACATACCGTCTCCGTTCAGAATCGTTTTTCTTATACAATGATATTATATCGTTGAATTCAAATTTAATATCATCCATTATACAGTGACCCACTTGTAACCTACTGTACAGCAGAGCGACACCCACTTGCCCACCTTTTTTAAATTGATCTTAGGTCCGGTGATTATGGACTTTAGCTGAATGGTTTTTGTAGGTTTTTATGTGGGTAGGGGGAGGAAAACTCGTGTGTAACCATGCCCGGGTGGGGGATGGCGGCACTTGTTCTCCGGACAACGTGACTTGCCCGAAGAAAAATGCTGCCCATGACCGATGTATCGAGGCAGCGACACAGTCGACGCCTTAAACCCCTCGGCCACTATGTCCCTCGTACAATATATTATATATAATATTAATATCATGTTATAGCAATATTTATTAGTGTATAATAATTATAATTATATTATAATTTATATTTATTAATAAGTATTTTTAATGTACTTTTCATGTATTGTATAATAATAATTTAATTGGGTGCAGAAACGTTATTTAAGCTTACGTTTTTGATTTAATTTAAAATGTTCGAAATCAAAATCAATGTATTTTCTAAACACAACTATACTGAGAACAATAAATTATTAATTTTGTTATTAAATTAAGTAATATAAACTGGAATATAAATATTATATTAGTGCATAATATACAATGGTATTGAAGAATAGAATAAGTAGAATATTGTAGATTGGTATAGGTAGTGACTAGTGGTAATGGTAACTACATACAGTTACCTTGCAATTAATCATAATTTTATGTAGTTACATATTTACATCTGTATTGTGTTAGAAATATACTTAGCCTATTTTCTTTTTAAATAAGTGAAGACTTTTTATGAACTTATGTTAAATAATATTGTAGATACAACTTTAATATTACATTTTTATTTAAATTGTATTAGATAGTTGATCTGTTTTGAGTTAAATAATTTTTCCAGGGATAAGGTCTATAATTTGTTACAAACTGAGAATACAGAGTAGGTGGCGTAAATAATAGGTAAATAAATAGGTAACAAGAGCGTGGACTGGAGAAGAAGAATATAATCTCTAAAAATAGTAAGAATGTAAGACTATAGGTGAATTTTTTTCTAAAATTCTGAGAAAAGCAAAAGATAGACATCATACAGGTAATACTATATTGCAGATCGTATGCAACTCGATAACTATTTATACTTTATTTATAACCTTTTTATACTTGGGTATAAGGTTAATCGATTCCGCCAGCATCGATTCCGCCAGTGCAGGTAGTCTAAAAACGACCTATCGATTCCGCCAGGGAAAAAATAATCTTCCCGAACATTTCAGTTTTATTTTACTTACATAGTTATATTATAAATATTATATGAAATACCTGTATAAAAACGTTATCGCTAATTGATGATAATCTAACTTGTATACGAAAAACGACTAATAGTATTGTCCAACGCTAATCTGGTTAGTCTCAATTTATCATCGTGCCATTATACTTCACAATAATGAATTTCGAAATCGTAGCTGGTGAACGAGAAAATGACTTAGTTATTTATCAAAATGAAAATTTTTTATTAATTTATATTTAATATTTAAATGAATTATTGTATTATTTTTTAGATATATTATTATTAATATAACAGAAACAGGTTGACAGCAGCAGTTGCCTGGTCGAGGTATAAATTGGTAGGTGGCGGAATCGATAGGTTGATTTTAGACTACCTGAACTGGCGGAGTCGATACTGGCGGAATCGATGCTACATTGGCGGAATCGATAGACCCCCCTATGCACGACACCCGACAAAGATCGTGAAGTAATAAATAATAATAATAATATTGTGAGTGACGAATTATTGGTTAAGCTAAGGTGCTTCAAAGGAAAAACTAATAATTTCATTACTTACAATACTAAAAAAACGTTTTCCCACTTTCGTAGAATATAGTACAAAATATAAAAACATTATAATAGTGGGATGGCCAGTGGTCTTAATGGCAAAGAGAGTCTGGAGTCATGGGAGGGTGAGCGGACCGATTCAAATTTAAAAAACATACACATATACATATAAGTATATAACACACAGAAAGTTTTACGTCATCATAATCACTTTCGACTTACGATGACGTATAACTATAGAACGTATTAGGGCTCAAAATTGTGGTGTCTTGACACATTGTTAGTTATCTGGCTAATTCGTTTTCCTTCTACTTACCAATTTCGGTGTTCACACGATTGTCTTCTGAGTTCTGACAGACATCGACAGAAATCACACACAATGCGATGCAAGTGATGAATATTATTGCCATTGTAATTTGTGTAGCACCCACTCACGTTGTCTCTAGACTGAGCGATAATCTATACATAAAAATAAAATGTAATACTTGTGTGTGTGTGTGTGTGTGTGTGTTTGTGAGAGAGAGAGAGAGAGAGAGAGATAGTGGTACCCAGCCAAGTATTTCGCACTTGTGGCTTTTAGTATAAGGGTAATTCTATACCTGAGGATGTGCATCAGTGAGCAACTTTTTAAAGTTTTCATTTTAAAGAAGAACTCACACTGCAGGGATTTGTTGGTTCACGAAAAATGGTAAGTATGCGTTTATCGGTGTTTAATAAGAGGCAAATACACTGGCATTTAATTTGTCACGTACAACTCTGGGCAGGATTAGTTACAATTAATATATTATAATCTACTAGTAGGCATATAAAATTAAAGGTCAAAAGCGATTGACCCTTAAAGAGCCCAATACACGATCAATGTTTTTGTTTGTGTCGTGTATTAATAATATTGAAGATGTGTTCAATATAATATTTAAAATATTAAAACCATTTTTACATTTATTGATGCATATACATTTTGGACACAATAAATTTGATCGTGTGTGGGGCAAATTTTACCTTATATACATTTATGCAAATTCACTGCAGGTTTGGACAGATTTTTGATAACATTTTCGTCAATAGATCCAGAAACACCTAGACTCTAGAGTGTCATAGGCTAGGTAGATACTTTTTATTTTTCAACACACAAATGTTGAATTTAGCTGACTCACAAATAATGATAATTTTTTTATTAATATATTGGTTACAGAAAATAACATATTATTCTTTACTCATCTAATAAAAACTACTCATTAATACTTTTATGATTGGATACAAATATTTTAGACCGGTATTTCATAGTTATTATCAGTAAAAACGATCCACGGGTAACCGAGTTAAAAATCTGTACAGCATTCCTCATTAAACAGAGTAAGAAGTTGTAAACGCACCGGCATTTAATCTGTCTCGGCGATAGCTCAGTGAGGCATGAGCTACAGTAATCATACCTATTAATAATAACAATAAAATATTATATTATTATATATTAGAAATAAATATATTTTTCTCTCCGTTCTGTCCGGTATGACCGGTATTATACCGACTACCGAGGTACATATAACACGCGGTTGTATAATACATACGTTTCTTTTCCACGTCCGATAGTTATTATCGCGTCTACCACGCACGCGCGCCCCGGCCCCGGCGTCTCACGCGCACAAACCCGTCCACCAGCCGCCAATCAGCACGTCTTTCTCGTCCGTCCGAATTTTACCGTCGTCGCCGGCCGCGCCGCTTCGCCCGAATTCGATTCAGTATCGCTCGCGGACCTTCCCTCGTCGCTTCCGGTCGATGCGATTCCCGGATTCCCAGCTGCAGCAACAACAGAAGCAGTAGCCACAGCTACGTACTTATTCAATAACAAGTAATTACAGCTACTGCCAATAGCCGTTCGTCAAAGGCGCCGTCGACACGGCGATGATGATGTCGTCGTTGTCGTCGACGACGACGGCTCCGACGGCCAGCGCCGTTGACGCCGCCGCCGGGACGGGCTCGTCGGCTCTCACGGTGACGGCACTAATAGTGGCATGCGCAGCGCTCGCGCTGATCTTGGTGCTCATGTGCGCGTTGGACCTGCCGTATTTCTTCCGGTCGCTGTTCAGTTACGTGGCGGCGACGTGCATCAAGAAGAAGCTCCGGGTCACCGACACGGCCGTATACTCGTCCGTGTGCCTGACCACCGACCTGGACGTATACCTGACGCACATGAACAACGCTCGGTACCTGCGCGAGATCGACCTGGCCCGCATCGAGTTCCTGCTGCGCACCGGCCTGTGGCAAGAGCTCCGTCGCCGGGGCGGCCTCATATTCACCATATCCAACAGCGTCCGGTACCGCAAGTTCGTGAGGACGTTCAGCCGGTACGAGATCCGCACCAGGATCGTGTACTGGGACGACATGTCCATTTTCTTCGAGTTCCGGTTTGTGTCCAAGGCTGACGGTTTCATCCGGGCCATCGTGTACAATCGGCAGCGGGTGGTCGACTGCAGCGCGGATGAGCTGATGCGCACCGTCATCGGTGGCGGAGCGTCGGCGGCCGCCAAGACCGCGGACGCCGACAACGCGTACCGGCGACCCGAGTGTCCCATCGAGATACATCACTGGATTCAGTCCAACCTCATGTCCAGCGCCATCCTCAAGGCCGAGATGGGCGACGGCGACCCGCTGTAGTGCGACCGGTCCCACGGGGTAGTACCCGTTTGGGCGCGTAACATAAATTAATGTACCTATCGCACTTTAGGGTGTAAGGTCCACTCAATGTCTGGGCGCTCACACATTATTTCCATACATATTACCTCTTGCACGTTTGGGAGCATCTAATCCCCTGAGTTTGTTGTGGCGTTATATAGGTACCTACCCGGGAGACGCATCGTCACGAGGAGGCCTGTAGTCTCTCAACAATTTTATGTTTGCACTTTTTTACTACTTGTTAGTACCTATTATAGACTATATCTACAACCATAGTACTATTATTATTTGTACTCTCGAGTTTCTGACGATAGGTGATAACTTTTATACATACTGTTTTTATGTGAAAAATTAAATTTTTTTCCGACCTGATTGTTCTTCAGTGTATTTTTTCAATTTGAACTTTAATTCTTCAAATTTTTTTTATATGTAATCGAACGCGTGTCTTTAATAAAATTTTACACCGTAGGTACCTAACGTGTTTTAAAAACAAACAATGCACCCAAACGTGGTGTACGCCCACACCGCAGTATACTACAGGCTGTAGCTGCATCTGCACCCGAAGATGCACTTCACAACGAATCGCGCGTGTAGATGGATTGTATATTGATTATAACTGCTTTGTTAGATTACTCGATTGGTTTTTATCCTTTTTTTTTTAAAAAAATTATAAATTTTATCGATTGTACTGACAAAAAAAAAAACAATTATGAAAATATCATAATATTATGACCGTTCGCTATTACCAACTAGTGATTTTATTATTATATTCGTCTGTACCTTGAACGTTCTAGTCTCGTTATACTGCCTTTTATGTAATATAATTTTAATTATGTTCAGGTACGTCTGTATATATATAAGTAATAATACTATTAATTATAAATACTCGTGTTTATATGTTTTAGTAGGTAATGATGATATTATTAATAACGGTCCGTTTTACCGGCGATGTATTTTGATTTTAGATACATTTAACGTTAATATAGACAATAAATGTATAATTTTATTTTTACCAACCTGAGAGTTTTATTTATTCAATTACCTTGGACATTTTATCGCTACTGAGTACTGACGAACCGTACATCGTGCAGCGGTGTTGCCGCGCAACTTGTTTTATTTGTCGTGACGAAAGTAAGTACTTTCATTTCTCGTTTTATTTTACATAGAATCCCATTAAACTGTATCTTTCCTATACCATGATGCTATTATACGAGCGAAACAACAACGAGTACTAAAAGTAAAAACTATTACTCATTATTAAATTAAATTAAAGTCGTTTTAAAGGTGAATAGTAACTTCAATAGCCAAATTGTATTATTTGTTCAATAAATTAGTTGATTCCAAATGCACAACTTTGGGGACATTTATTTTAAAAATGACTCCAAAGTATAAATAAATTCACAATTGAACATTATCTATCTAGATTCGAGACCGTCTTAACTCGGCAAAGTTGATCAGTCCAACACAATAAATTCTCATTGAAGTTTCTGTGCATTTAGGCATCTTCTGCAGTAGTTCTGTGTTCAAACATTTCTTGTTGTTTATTGGGCCGGGATTCGGTGAGCTACGGATTGTTCGTTCAATCTAACACAATTTAGTATAGGTACCTAATAATTAATTTATTTACCGTATTTGGCTATAAGTAAACATGATATGATCCCGTCAATCATCGACATTATATTATATACTACGGTTATGCATTAATGCGATATTCATATTACTATATAATATATTCTTATAATTATAAATTATAAATTATAATTATTATAAATTTATAAATAGCAAGATTTTCATTGTTGATATTAATTATGAAGGTCCAACTTAAGTACATTTTCTACAAATGCATCTGTATATACTATATACACATGAACTAATAACTATACGCCAGAATGTAACGACTTTAATGAATTCGTTTGTAATATTAGAAATATTGTACAACAAATATTCAAAGATAATGATAATATTGTCATCGTTTTATGAACATTCCATACGAATTCCATCTCCAATTTCTAAATTATTTTACTTCTCCATTGTCATTGTTATTCTAGAACGGCATTAGGCAGGTACGTGTATTTTATCATTACTGGCACCATCGAATCATTGATATGCAACACTGTCGAACACGTTCTAGAAAATATTTTTAACGTTATAGGTATGAATAAACTATGAATAGTATTGAATACCAATACTGAATATAATTTAAAAATAATTCAACAGTTTGGATGCCACGTTCTTATATGACATATTATTTTAGTGACAAGAATCGTGCTTGCCATTTAAAATAATAATTGTTTAGTTCAGAATAAAATACAATAATATTATGGTTTCACAATATTATTTTCGACCAAGATTTCTGCCATCTATAAGAATAACTTTTGTCTTTAGACAATCAATAGATAGTTGTTATGAGACTAACCAATTTAAAAAAAAAATATGTTTCAGATTATAATACTAAGGTTTTTACAAACAAATATTTGTAATTGTGAAGTAAATGTATGGAATGAAATAAGAGTCAAAATATTTTTTATATGTCAGGTTTGTTTAATGTTATATATATATATTTATTAATATTTTGTACTCTTCAAGTATTTTTAATTTTTAAATAAGACATAAGTTGAATAATATTTTAAATTTATTCTTACGAAAAGTTAATAAAATAAATTTCATTGATTTAAAACAAAATTAAATGTTGATAAGATAAGAAAATTTTTATTACCAGGTATCAGGAAAAAGGTTTCGTTTTGATATTTTACAACTAGAAAAAACCTATTTGTAACAATAATAAAACTTAAAACTTATAAATTACAATATCAATTTTTATAATAGTACGTCGATTACAACAAACTTCAGTGACAAATAGTCTCAAAGTATTTATAACTATAATTTTACAATACTATAGGTATCATATAGCATATGCAATTTTAAAACTGTGTTTCAGTTATTTATAATCAAACAAAATTTAAAATAATGTATGAATTCAATTGTGTTTACTGAATACCTATTTTTTAAAATTTTTTTTTATTGAACTTAAGCCCCGCGACTAAGGCCTTTAGCTGTTGTAGGGGTTATGATTTATGAACTGTGGTAGGGGTAAGATACGGTAGGTGGTTTTTTATGATTTTTTACGGTAGTTACAGTGGGTAGCAAATACGTGTATGTGTGGCAAGGTTTTTAATTACTATGAACCCGGGTGGTCACCCATCCAGGAGCTAGTAGCTGTGGCCGTTACTTACTCCCAGTAGCATTCGTAGCAGCCAACGAGCCACGCCAAGCCACGAATACCTATTTTGTCATTGTAATAAAAGGTAATTAAAAGTGTTATAATATAGTTCATAATAATTATATAAATATTATAATATCAATGAACTAATTGTATAAATGAATGTTGTTATTTTTATGAATTTATTTTAATGAAATATTGGAATAATATTTATTGATTAATTACATAATATGTTATTATGTACCTATTTAAATATTAACATTCACATTAAACATAGGTATTGTTGATAGTATATACATTATACAAGCAAACAGCAGAGTACTGTTACACAACAGGTTACAACTATAAATCAAGTAGTATAAGTTGTAAATCAGCAAATCGTGCAAATATGGCTGACTGTACCCTTCACAAATAAACAATATATTTTTACTTTTGGCCTATAGATATAACTTTCTTAAATTTTTAACACAAATTATAAATTATAAAATATAATCGTTTAAATTATTATAGGAACATGATTTGCATTCAAATATTGAAATATACTATATTTATTTGTTTATCGCTTTATCGATATTTTTTAATTATTATCGTATTATATTCATAAAATAAATTAAAATATTAAAGTAATATAATATTACTTATACTAATTAATAACAAGGTATACTTAATAAAATAACACTTCCATTTTCTTCATTTTCAGTTATCTCAATTAAAGAAACTCTTGTCTTATATTTGTTTAGCAGTTAATTATGGTCAGTGAAAATATAAATTTATAAATTATAATGGTGTGTATTAAAAATAATTGAGATATTTGGCTTACAGTGAAATATTTTTAATTTCAAACAATGTTAACAAATACTTAATACATACTCTGTCTGTTCATAATAAATACATAGTGAATAATTTATATTCCCAAATTGTATATCCTATACATTATTAATCCTTTAAATCGGCTAAAAGTAACATAATGTTTATGGCTAACATCTTAACGAACTATACTTTATATTGACTTTTGATGTAATCGGTATTCGATGTCAGTGTGAATTCAAAAATCTCCCATGCCTTTACCAAAACATCAAAAGACCCTTTAAACTTTGGAGTTAGGACCTAATAAAGAATCTGACTCAATCTGTTCACACTAAATATAATTGGGTTAAAGCTGTAGTGCTTTAATATGTTCAGATATCTTCTGTTCTAAGGCTTTAATGAGTATTATAGTTCAAATATTTCAATATACTACAGCAACAATTATTTATCTGAAAGTTGTGCAACAATTTTACAATTATCGTAACCAAACTACAATCGTTTACCTATAATCTTATTTAAATATTATAAATGTACATATCCATTGGAGAAAGAATTGAGTTTGTTGGGTTTTCATCGATCATTTAACTACCTACCTACGTACATTTAATAAATACGCGCGACATCTGCTATAATAAACAATTAATCATAAAAAAACAAATTAAATTACATAACGTGAATCAGAATTTAATAATACCCACAGTATTATAGACACATTGTAAATAATTGAAATATTTTTGTTGTCAATGTAGATAGGTAATAATAGATATTTCATTTTAACAACAATACTAGGTAGGTAATAAAATGTATAACGTAAAAAAGTATTACAATTATTGATAGCAGCATAATATTACTATGATTTATGAATAATTTATACATGTCACCATGTCATCGAAGTGCAGAACTAAACGTGATCAATCGTTAAATATAATGGTTCTTTTAGTCAACGGATTTACAA